TATTCCTAGTATAGTTTTCTTTTACTCCCCCTCTTCTGAAACATAAAACCAAGTGTTACATGGTGTTCTATCACAATGAAGCAGTCATAGATGCTGGCGATCAGCATTGAAGCTTCATAAGTTTTCGCTCCTGTTTTGCCAGTTGAGATTAAATCTACCACTAACTGTCAAATAGGTAGCCTTAAAAATGACGAAAAAGTTGCTGAAAGTCTGAATTTCTACCTTAAGGGCACCTGAAGATATGAAATATATTAAAATGCTTCCTAGGTTCATACCAATTTCTGATCTTGTTACAGAGTCATTTTGCTGATCTTGCAGAAAACCCATAAGCAAGGCTATCGGCTGGGTCTTCTTTATGATCTGATATGATGGACAGCTTTGGTTTCACCTTCTGTGTGGTGTAGAAGCAAAACCAACCGGCCCGACATGTGCATAGATTTTGCTGCAGATCAGTATAAAAGGTTGGGGGTTTTTTGGGGGGGAAGTATTAGCTAGAAGACCAAGCTCCTATGTATAGAGCTTTTCACCCTTAATGTAAGGGCTTTATGTGAATTATTTGTCAAACTTATATCCTGTCTTTTCTCAAGCTGAGTTCAGAATGGGGAACATAGGTCTCCTCCTCCCTATTTCATTTTCTCAATAACCCATTGAAGTATGAGAGAGAGGAATTGAGCTAAGATGCTCCAGGTGTAGGGGTCCACCCGTGTCACAGGATGGGACCTCTGGCTGCTGAAGTTTTTGCTGGACCTGGGCTGAGCTGCCAGAATCCTGGAAGGATCAGGATAAACCAACCAACACAGCCAGCTCTGCTCATGTAGTGCAGTTGGAGCAGCTGAAGGTACAGCCATTTAAGGGCTGCATTGGACTCTCAACCCTTGCCACAGCAACACCGTCTTTTGTACTGCTTTTGTGCACAGACTTCCATGTTCTCACTCAACTCCTTTTCTCCTTGTGAGAGTGATGAAGGATTACCCCAACTTTGAAGCTATAGAGCAGGGAAGTTGCAGGCAATCCTTTCAGATGCCATCTTAGGAATTGAGCTGGATGTCACTTTGCAGTGCTGTGGCCAATGTACCAGGTGTCTCAACTGTAAAAGACTAAAGAGGTGATCCCTTACCTTGAAGATAGCTTCCATGGCAGCTATTGCCTCTACCAAGTATTGACCAAATTGGTGGGGAGGAGAAGGAACCAGAAAGCCAGAACATTTGGTTTGGTTTTCTAAGACTAGCCAAAATGGTGATTTATCTGATCAACCACTGTTAAGAAAAGGAAGCTGAACCCAACAGCAGTAGACCAGGCAATGCAGTTCTTATTATTGCTCACCTACAAACATTTTTGGTTGAATAGAAAGAATAATAGAGTGCTTGAATTAACAATTGAGGTATCAGAGAAATATAAAACCAGAATGGTTCTATTGGTTTTAAAGTTTCCCTTCTTCAAAAAGCTTGGTATATTGCTGTGCATCCTATTTTATCCGGCATGGGAAATTGTGCCCATTGTTTTGAACATACTCTATGTGGGCTATCTTTGGAAATTATTAGGAAACCTCAGCTGTGGCAAGACTGGTTACAGTGGACATATGATTCCTGTGTTGCAAAAGCTTCACTGGATACCCTTTCCGGATGCTATTCAGGGTGCTGCTGGTGCTGGTTATTGTTGTTATATGTATTTTGCTCTTTTGCCAAAACAGGGACCCAGAATGGCTCACAATATATTTTTTTTAAAAGTACAGTTAAAAACATACAGAAGTGATACATTAAAATAGAATTAAATTATTACAATATTAAAATAGGTTGCTTGTTGAAAGAATAAAATACAGTTTAAGAAGGTAAAAGTGTTTAAACACGTTAAAACAGTACAATACCCCAGGCCATTGTTTTAAAAGCCTGTCTACATAAGAAGGTCTTAGCCTGCTGGCAGAAGGACAACAAAGAGAGGGCCATTGTGGCCTCCCTGGATAGGGAGTTCCAGAGTGTGGAAGCAACCACCAAGAAGGCCTTCTCTCGTGTTCCCACGAACCATGCTTGTCACAAGAGAAAGGCCTCTCCTGAGGATCTCAGAGCCTGAGCCAGTTCATACAGGGACAACACCAAACCCTGAGGAACCCCACAGGACGATGGCCAGGGTTCAAGCAGGAGTGCCCCAGCAGCACCTTCTGGATTTGCCCCTCCAGAAAGGCACAGAGCCACTGTAAAATGGTGTCTCCAAGTCTCATCCCAGAGAGGTGGCCCAGAAGCATATCATGGTACATAGTATCAAAAGCCATTGGTTATTACCTGTAAAGCAGGGGTCCTGAAACTACGGCCCACGGGCCGGACCTGGCCTGTCGAGGCCTTCCTACCGGCCCACAGCCGGTCCTGCTGCTGCCGCTTACACCCGCTGCCGGATGCCATTTTGTCTTCCAAAATGGTGTACGGAGTCGTGCACATGCGCCTGATTCCAGGTGCCATTTTGTCTTCCAAAATGGTGTCTGGAGTCGTGCACATGCGTGCGCACCTCCAGCCCCCTGGAAGATCTGGGGGCCAGTGAACCGGCCCCTGGATCAAAAAGTCTGGGGACCCCTGCTATAAAGCTTGGATCCAGGCTCTCTGAAATACTATCTCCCTCTAAGAGCCTGCCTGAGTTTTAAATCTTCAGGGAAAGTCTTTCTCTTGGTCCCACCACCATCAAAGACACATTTGGTGAAGACATGGGAGAGGACCTTCTTGGTGACAGTTCCCATTCTGTAGTGTAGACTTACCTGCAATGGAAGGGTAGGTTGGCCTCATCTTTGAACTTTTTTCACTGGCAGTGAAAGAGTTTTTATTTAGACAGCTGGTTGCAGAAGGGGCTTTAAATGGGAGTGCTGTACTTTCACCTACATTACAATGTTTTCATTTTTTCTCAACTGCTTTAATTTAGTTCTTTTGTTATTTTTATTTGTTATTTAATAGGTTTTTTTAAATGCTTGTAAATACAAATTGTTTCAGCTATCTTTTATTTTGACTTACGCTATAAACCTCCTTGATTCCCAAAGTGAGAAAAGGGTGGAGATATAAATTAATCAAATAAATAATTTCTTTAATAACAATTTTAAAATTTCTCACAGGCTTGCCTGAATCTATCATTGCTGCAGCATGCTCAAGAAGTGGCCAGAGAGTTCTCCATGTGGATTCGTAAGTTTAGTCTTTCATGTATTTTGGTTGTGGGGCTTACTTTGATACATGTTAAACATTTTTGATGCAATTTAAATACATTTTATACAATCCCAAACACATTTATTTGCAAGTCCCATTGAGCTAAACTGTCCTTGGTAAACATGGCTAGAATTGTACTCTTTCAAGTTTGGAAGTATATATATATATATGTATATGTATATAAACCTTGATTTTGCCATTTTATATAAGGGACCAAACCCCAGCAGATATCAAGGACCCACTGTATACTGATTGTGCTGTCATTTCATGTTTGTTTTGGAAAATAGTATCTTTGGGAAATGTTGCTTCTGTTGTTATTGATAAAATGAGGCAGCATAATAATGCCTTTAGCCTACACTGCAAATGTAAAATTCAAATTAAATTCAGTATCTTCTGATAGAAATTTTAAGGGCTTTAGTTTAGTGAAGAGGAGACAGACAGACACACACTCATAGAGGTTAGAGTCTCCAGTGTTCTTTGAAGTGATCTAAAATGGGCTTCATTTAGTAGCAAAGATACATCATTTGGCTACCTACAAACATGTTTAGTGTCCCGTTTGATTACTTTATTAGGACTAGGATGTTACCAGAATTTTTTGAGATAACAATTAGGATTCACTGGTCAAGATCCTACATATGTGTGTGATTCCACATGTCCTCCCACCACCAGGCAATGGGAAGTGCCCTGTTGCTATTGCTCTCTAGTGGGATGGGAGGAGTTTGGACCAAGGAGAAGCAGCGGGTCCCGGCTCTGTTGGGAGAAAGAAATGAGAGTGTCCTCAAATGGAGTGCACCTGCCTTTTTTTTCTCCCGGAGCTCAGAATAATTTGTTTGAGAGCATTCCCCCTTCTTCCCATTCCCCCTGATAAAAAGGATCAGGAGAAGACTCCCCCAGGGTTTAACAACTGCTGAGTAGGGGAAGGTTTTGGACACATTGCAAGGCAAGAACCTACGTTTTCTTTGCTCCATCCAAAAAGGGATTTATGTGTGCAAGCTGCCCTTATGTGCACGTAAGTTACTAAATGGGTGCTCGCCACTTTGTTTATTTGCAAATTGTGACTGCAGAATTCCCTCCCTCCCATCTCCATAGAATTTTCTGTGTTAGAGGTGGAAAATCTTTGGTCCTCTAGATATTTTGTCCTAGTAGCTGTTATGATCCCTTAATAGCTGGACATCTGGAAGCTGAATTCCAAAATATACAGAGGGTCAAAGTTTCTGCACCCTTGTGCTGTGTAGAGCAGGGGCAAGCAATATAGAGGCATCCAGATACTGTTGATTTTCCTCTCCCTTCATCTGTAGCTAGCACAGCTAATGTTGAGAGATGATAGAAATTGTGGCTTAGCATTATCTGGAGGGCTACATATAGACTCCTCCTGTAGAACCTGTCAGTTCCCTTGATTCTATAGGTTTCTAGTAAATATATAATCGCCTAGTTAAATTGTTAAGGGAGACTGGATTTGAGGAAGGGAGTGTTAAGAACCTGAATACTAGACCAAACCTCTTCTTAGCCAGTTATAATCCTGTGAAGCTGAGTAGATTTGACTTTGGCAGGAATCAGATAACACTTGAAACACAGCCTTGTTGACTTTCAGAGGATTTTGACCAAGGTATAGATACAGGTAGTACTTAGAGCTGTTCACATGCAGTCCAATGCAATTAAAAACATTTTGCCAGTGTTTGTCTATTATTATTGTATGCCTTCAAGTTGTTTCTGACTTATGGCAAACCTATCATGGGATTTTCTTGTTCAGGGGGAGCATGCCACATTGCCTTTCACTGAGGCTGAGAGAGCATGACTTGTCTTAGGTCACCCAGTGGGTTTCCATATCTGAACAGGAGTTCAAACCCTGGTCTCCAAAGTCATAGTCCAAGACTAAAACCACTAAACCATGCTGGCTCTGCAAGTAAACAAAAGTGATAGGTTTGCCTAAGAGTCACCGTAAGTAGGAAATCACTTGAAGGCATCCAACAACAAATGATCTAATGTATTGGTCATTAGGGTTATATAAAAAAAATCATATATGCTGGAATACAGTACAACTTTGGATGTGTGCTTTCCCCCATTTTAGCTGCCATGTGCCTGAGTTCTCAAGGATGAAATGTGTAAAACAGCATTCTCCTCTTTAATTTAACATGGCTGTTGTTGCTTCTAGGAACATTTACAAACAAGGAATTGGTCTACTACAGCAATAAATAAAACTGAAATTTAAGTAAATAAAAGGTGAAAACTACCTCTTGGATTTGTTCCTCAAAATTTAAACCCATAAATCCTGTGCAGAACACTTAGGTGAATAGCGTATGAGATGGAGAAACTGAATATTGGACACACTTGTAAATCTGCTCCTTTACAGTGCTGTGTAAACTTTAAATCTTTTCCTTTCTGATAGGAGTTAGATAGAAAACATACAGGGTGGGGGCCAGAAGAAACTGAGAGTCAAATGAAACTTTTGAAGTACTTTGTGTGTGCCAGTGCTGCCTGGATTCATTACCCTGGGTGGATCTTATTACTTTTAATCTCCCACTACTGTTTTGCGTTTATCATAATATACCGCTTATGTGATGATGGTAGATGGCCTGAAGTGGACCATTATAAACCACTGAGTAGCACCTCTGTTGATTTATAAACACTGTCCAAGCATCCCCCATCAAGAGCAGCTAATCTTATTCAAAATAGTCACTTCCATTGCAGCCTGGTCATAAATTCCTGTAGTCATGTTTTAAAACCAAAGTTAGCTTCTGCCAAATTGTAATTGAAGGGGGCTCTATTTCTGGGTGCTAGCTATCTGTCTCAATAAAATGTTAAAAGAAAAATCTGTGGTTCTTTTTCAAAGAGCTACATTTACTGTAGATATTAATGAGCTGTTGACGTGTGAAATTTCAAGGATGGATGCTAAGTGATTTAGAAAAGTCATTTGCAATTCAGAACGCTGGCTTGGCATTGACTTTAAACTTGAAGTTGCAAAAGTTGAGAATTGAATATAGTTGTGAAACCAATTTGTTTATGCATGAAGATCTTTCTTCCCAGTGATTGGCCTCCCCTGCCTCCCCATCTTCTTATTTTGGTGGAATGTACTTTTGGTTTTCCATACATTCTAATTGCATTAGCCAAAGAGATGAGGAAAATATATTTTTTTCAAGTTACCTATTTTGCATCTGAGGCTAAAATTCAGTTTTGTCACAAGAAAAAAGAGTAAGCTTCTTTACAAGGGGCTTTTAACAGGTGCTATACTTTTTAAAAATTGATATGCATTTAAATTGCTTTTAATCCAATTATGTTTTGTTATTATGTATAAATTAATTGTGCTTCATGAGTTTTGTGTTTTTATCTCTATCCTTTTCATTAAATCTTGTTGTGAGCTGCTTTCTTTCCCAGTTTTAGATGAAAGGTGCATAAATCAAAACAAAGAAAGGAGCTTAGTCAGTTTCAAGAACTGTTAAATTGCCTTTTTAATTGATTTAAATTATTTGATTTCAGTTAGGGGTTTATGAAAACTTCATTAGATGTGTTTTTATAAAATACTAAAGGGTAGTTGGGAGGACTGAACAATTAACAAAAACAATAAAAATACATCACTTACTATTGGAAGGAATGTTTTTTTGTATTTGTATTTGCTCCTTATTGGAATAACACAATGGAACCAAATTAATTTGAAATAAATAATGACTAGAATCTAGGCTTACATATAAGAACTCCTACATTGGAGCTCTTAAATATCTCTTCGCAAATGATCTTATTGTACCATATTGTGAAATAAGTGAATGCCCTACAAGGACATTCCCGTCACTACCACCAAATGTGGGGACTTCCACTTGTCCCACTGCTATTGCTCCAAATGTGGGGATTTTCTGGGTGTCTTCATGATTTCTATGTGAGACTTTATTCCCATAATCACACCACTGGAAACCAACACCTTAGTACAACTGCTGCCATCACAAATACCATCACAAACTGCTGCCATCACTCAACCACTCCAATAGCACTACTATAGTGGTTAGTATTAAACAGAAGTTCAACATACAGTTAAAAATTACTTGATGTATAGAAGCTTATGGTTACAGTATTTCAAGGTTTCATTGTTATTGTTACTTATTGTTATTTTGTGCATCTTATTTTGTGCATGTTGACTCTAACACATCTCACTAATTCTTTCCAAATCCTAGTAGACCCTAACTAAATGTCCTAACTAACCCAAAACACAAACCCCTTACCTTCATTGTCTGTTTCACTCCACTGTCGCTTCTTTAACTGATTCCCAGCTCTGATGGACTCACATCTCTCTCTCTGATACTAATTGCCCCAACATGCTATACCCTCACCCCCTACCAAAAGATTATATTGCATATTGTTTCTTTTAACATTCAGTTTGCCTGAAAGTTCTTTATATACCCACACTGGGTCTTTAGCCACTTTCCACATTTATTCTCCATTTGAATTGTTTGCAGTTATGCCTTCAACATCTCACTTTCAGGAACCTCCCATTATCATGAACTCCCTTCTCTTTGAGCATTTCTGACTAGTGGTTCTTACCCGGTATTCCCCTAAGCATACTGAAATCGGCTTGAAGTCCAGTGTGCATGTCTAACTATGTTTGGCTTCCCTTTTCCCTGTACTTCCAAGAGAACTTGGTAACAGCTATACAAAGATCCTACTAATTCCACTTAATTGACCAGTACTTCCCTATTGATTAGGGTCAGATCCAAAATTGTTGACCCACTTGTTGCCAGGAAGGCAAGTGAGGAATTTGTTAGGCTTTCCATTCTTTGACAAAGTTAGACTTCCTACAAATATCAGGGTAGTTGAAGTCTCTCATTACTACTACTACTACTACTATAATGTTTAATTATTTGTTATCCCATTCCACCTCCCACCTCCAATTGGGACACAAAGTGGCTCACAATTTAAAAGAACAGTACAATTAAACACACACAAAAAAGAAATAACTGTCCTCTTCACTGGGGCATCCTTTGTATGTTGCCATTCCAGGAGAGTCTGCTCTGCTCAGTCCAAAAAAAGGCTGAATCTCCCTTGACAAGTTTGAGTGTAGATTTACGGCCCTGAAGCTGTTGTACCTTCTCTTCCAGCAGTGTAGCCAGCTTGCTTTTGCTGCAGGTAGCTCCTAACATTCTCAGGCAAGAACACAAATACAACACAGTTGTTGCATGTCACTACAGCAGCTTCATTACTGTCCATGTTCAGTTGTTCTTCTATAGAGGCAGTGATACAGCACTCTGGCACTTCCCTTCAAACTTCCCAACTAAATATCCATGCAGCATGCCTCTTGTCCTTGTCCTGTTCACCACACTCCAGACACTAAAGGAATAGCTAAATAGTTAGTTGCTGCTGATAGACAACCATGTCAGCCCACAACCATGTCATTGACTCACTTTTTCTCAGCAGACACTTCACCCCTTTGGATGCTGTGCTCAAACAGATTACACAGCCTAACACACAAAAGAAACCCAAGCGAGCCTCTAAACAGCTCAGCTAAACAATCTGCCTTAACCCAAAAGATACAAGTTCATTTGTCTTTTCCACAAGTACTATATAAAACATCTTTGACCTGTTAACCACTCTCCTTTTTGCTGAAATCCAGCTATGTAGAGTTAGTGGCTAACTCTGCACCCAGCCAGGTCAGTAATAATTAAAAATAATAAAAAGCAGGGTTTTTTTAAAAAAGCACAAATTAAAACAATAAAATCTTAAAAAGTACAACACCCTGTTCAAAGCCCTTTCTTTTGAAACATTTATATCTCAAAAAAGAATAAAGGTGTCTTTTCTTGCTGATTGAAGGACAGCAAGGAAGGGGCCATTCTAGCTAAACCGCAACTTACAGTCCATTCTAGGAGGAGACCGTTTTCGCCAGATGCATCCCCACCAGATATGCCTGTGAAATGGATGGGACTCAAAACAGGGCCACTTAACCAACATGGCAGGTTATTTGCCCAAATAGCTGCTACCTCAGTGCAGATTCACCTGTTGCTAGTACAGACCTATCCCCCCCATGAATTTATTAACATCTGTTGACCAGTAAAACTCCATGGAACCTCCATTAAGTTACTGATTATCACTTGCTTGAAGAGTGAGAGGAAGAGGGGGAATGTTATGTCTGAAGGACTGTATTCTCCCATGAGTGTGTCCTGGCTCTGGAAGGAAGGCCATCAATTCTACCATCCTTCTGGAAGGGATTTGACAGAGGGCCTTCTCAGTGATTGTTCCCAAGCTCTCTTCCAAAGGAGAATAGGCTGCCATGCTCTCAGTTGTCCTTCTACCAATAAATAAAAATGTTTGTATTCAAGTCTGTTTTTTGCTTTCTGCTATTTGGTTGGCTGCAGAGGACGGTTCGCCTGCCATTTGGATGCTGTACTTTTCTTAGTGGTGTGCTTTAATTGCTTTATATTGTGCATCTAATTTAATTTGTTTTGATAGATCATCTAGTTTTGTGTTTTAATTGTGTGCTTTCACCTGATATTACTGTGAGCCGCCTTGGATTCAATTTTTTGTTAGAAAGGTGAGATATAAATCAAATAACTAAATGCCTTCCAGACCTATCTTCTAGCAGACTACTTTTGAAAATAGGATGCTGGGTTAAGCAATATTTTTAGTTAAGATTTAGTGGTGTATTTCTGTATCCAGTGGCAGCAGAACTGAGATTTACTCCTTCCCTTCTTATTGTAGCCCTCTATAGGACAGGATTTAGGATGCGTGGAAGAGAGCATGTAAGAGTAAAAAGCCAACAATTTTGGTGAAAGCCACAGGATCCAGTAGAAGTACATGACTGTACCCTGGCCTTAGTTTAATGCAACAGGGCTTTTCTTGTATTATGCTGACCCAGGGATGATGGTATGTGATGACCAAACACTGTTGATTCTAGTGTGTTGTTTAATTTAATGGAGATA